ACATAAGGTGGTGCCCCAAGAAATAAAAGTTATTTTTGAAAAAAACAAAACAAACAATCAGCACCACATTAACAACCACAAAAACAGAGTACCCAACAACAATTTACTTTCGAAAAAAAAATAAGCTTGAAGATACTGAAAGTCATCCACCAAAGCTACATAATTTTAATTGAAATGACTTTTTTGAAAAAAATGTTTGAAATTGTTGTTGTAAATTATGCAATTCATCATTGAAAATAACGGATGGATTAGATCTGAGAATGGGTTTTTCTTATTGCATTGAATTATGTTGTTAGAACTGTGAAAAAACAAACCAGTTTTTTAGCTCAAAAACTATTTCTACTGTAAACAATGTAGGGAGAGAGCCATATGAAGTGAATATACTTTCAATTGTTGCATACCGCGAAACTGGACTAGGCTTTCAGGTTATTGAAACTTTTTCAATGAGTATGAACACATATAATATTTCTGAAAATGCTTTTGATAATTTAAACAAACAAAAAAAACAGTTTATTGTATGGTTATGGTCTATGAAGTATCTTTTATGAAGTATTTGTTACTTAGTATTTGTTTGACAGAATCTTTTTAAATTCATAAGCTATAAATACTTTTTATTCTTTTAATCAATTTTTTCTTTAATTTTGGCCAATGCCCTTCACAGCACAATTATACTGATATAATTTTATTATGCTATGAATTTTGAATTTTCAAAACCTCGACAAGGTAATTCAAACTGCAAAACATACGGAAAAATAAATAAAAACTATATTCTCAATGATAAAACCCATTTTTTATGTGCTATTTAAAGAGTTTTAACATTGCTGGTATACGTTGTGACAGTACTTCAATATAATTGCTGGTAACTTCATCAGAATACTTTTAAAAATTAACTTGTTGCTTGTGTCCTTTTGATAATCAGATAATTTAGTTTGTTATCGTAACAACGCAATATTTTACCAGTCATTTTAATTATATTAAATTTAAAAGTTTTCAAAACTTTTTAGTTATCTTTATAAAATTTGAAAAATTGGGATGGATTTAAATTTATATTTGTGTTTTTAAGGTTGTAATAAAAGTGTGAGACGAAACTAGATAATGATTATATGAAACCTTACGCCAAACAAATTATAAACAACACAGTTTTGCTCGTATAAAATATTATTAGTTTAAACATAAACATATTTAAAGATAACGTAAGATATTAATGTAGACGTAAAATGTAACAGCAAATATTATCTTTTAATATACATGACAATTATATGTTTATCATTAATAATTTAACACAGGTATTGTGATATTGTTAATAAATATATAATCGTCATTTATATTTTAAAATAACATTTATTATTAGTAGTAAGCAACTGTGTGATTTATAAGTTTGCCAAAAAAGAATACTTTAATAATAAAAAATAATTAAAGTTTAAAAAAACAGTCAATATTTTAAAAGGTTTGACTAGACTGCAAAAATATGATGAAATGTAAACATCAGATAAAAGAGGTAAAAATATCAAGAAAAAGAAAATTATTTAAAAATACTGGACATAACATACTCGTATGAATATATACTGGCTACCATAGACGGTGACATCACAGCCTATGGTAACCAGTATATATTCATTCAAGAAAACAAGGTACCGTAGTTATGGTAGTTATGGATACAAAAATCTACTATAGTTTAAACCTTTAATTTCTTGTTGTCGAGTTTTTTATTGATGGTTTTGAAAGAAACTTTTGTGGCATTTGTTTGTTTGCGTTTTTACTAGTTGTTTATCCAAACTTTAGATTTAGTTAATCTTATAATAATCTTTTTTACCTTTTTTTTATTTCTTAAAGTTATGCAAGTGTTTTATCTTTGTCTGATTGCACGAATTGATTCAACGACGTCTTTCTATGCCCCAGTGGGCACAGGACCTAAAATAAGACGTCTTTTGAACGTTCAAAAGACGTCCAAAACGTTAAAAAGACGTCCAAAACGTTAAAAAGAAATTTAAAAGTCTTTTTTACGTCCTGTGCCCACTGGGACAGCGTGTAACGTTTCTTGAATTGTCCAACTGTAGTTACGAAGGTAATAATAGCTGAATAATTTTGTTCCGAAAATACTTACAATATTTTTTATTTTTTTAAATTTTTTATTTAAGTTCCCCAATAAGTACTTACGGTCTTATCACAGAGCACCACAGATGAGCATTTAATTAAAAGCTCACGCCTCCTTCCTAACCGGTGTCGCTAAACTTGCCTAGAGGTGGGGTTTGAACTACGGATCCTTTGTTTCTGATGCAAGTGCGCTACCATTGCGCCACGGCTGCTTTTTATTCTCTATGCTTTATTCTTTTTATTCTCTATGTTTGACATTGTTGTATATAATCAAACGTTTTCTTCAAAATAGTCATTTCAATCAAAATGGATGGTTTTCAGTATCTTCAAACTTATGCTCTATTTTATTACTATAATTTTAAGAAATATTTATTATTTAATAGCGCAGTACCGGGGTTTTGTTAAAAAACAAAACAACCAAGATCTCGGTTTCGCTCATCTTTGAATTGCTATCAAAACCATTAAAATGTGATTTTAAAAAAAAACTTTTAAAACAAAACTGCTCTGTGTTTGCGTTATATAGGCATATGGTTGGCTGCTCATTAGGCCGCAGATATCATCAAGTATTTATCATTAGGTTGGCATTACAAAAAACCACCTAATATTTAGTTTCAGGCTTTATGTTTATCCAACGTAACGTTATGGGTGTTACAACTGGGCATTACAAGTTTCTGTTCATCCGCCTAACGTTCGCATCTTATATTGTCTAACTGCTCATGCAATGTTATTGCGTTAATCATTAAGTTATCCATTAAATTACTGCTAAATCAAAATTATAAAACAATCTATCGACATAAGAAAATAAGTATCAAGAAGACAGCAGTTATTTTTAAATAATTTTCTACAATAGATAATTCCTGTTTTATGGTACAATAGTGTTCTTTTAAATAGTATAGCAGAGCCGTAACCACTGGGTTAAAATTTTTTAAAATTATAATTATTAGAAAAAACATATATGTAAAATATTTTTAACAACTATTTCATGCCCTCCCTCCTTTAAAAGAACCATAGCCCGCCCGCCCCCCCCCCCCTTCCATATCAAAATTGTTAAAAAACAAAAGTTTTACTAAAGGTATGTTTATCTTTTGTATTATTTTACATTTAAAGACATTTACATGTCTTTAAAGCTCTTTTGTATAAATTTTGAAATTTTTATATATATCAAATGTACTTTTGTAGTGAAAATATTTAAAAGTAAAAATAAAAAGTTTAATTAGGTATATACTGTGTAGCAAAAACCTTTATTTTCAACAAATAATTATTTTTATGAACTTAAAATTTAAGCTATTGAGCACATTGCAAATAATACATACAGTGAACAAAAACTTGACTTGTAAAAAAAAAAAAAGACAAACAAAAAAAAAGACAAAAAAAAAAATTTAATCCCTTTTTTTTAAAATAATTTTAATTAGTGTCATTTTTTGTAAAAGTAATTTAAGAATAATAAATAAAAACCATGCTAACTAACAAAGTAGGTTTGAAACATCAGATATGAAATGGTGCAACTTTTAAAATGAAAGTTAAAAAGATGTCTCATTTTAACATTTGTAAACTGAAAGTTAAAAAGATGTCTTATTATTTTAACGCAAAGTTCACAAAAGAACAATTAGCATTAATTATGTGTGAATTCACAAAACTAAAAAACCTTTTAATAATTGGCTAATAAAAAGCCAGTGAAGTGTTTTCACCTTTTTCCTTTTAGCTGGCTCTAATCCATTATTACATCATATATACTTAACAAGTACATTCATGCGTAATTATTATTTAATTAAATTAATTTGAGTGCATCGTTATTTTTAGGAGTGCAAATATAAACTCCCTTTTGTCTAAATTAGCACATATTAAAGTTTTTCAACATTAAAGCTAAAAATCTTTTAACTGATATTATAATTTTTTGAGTTAGAGTTTTGAAAAGCTTTTAGTGACCGAACTTTTTCTCTAAGGAATATTTTGTAATAGAATTTATAAGTAGAATTTCATTTTTGTAATTTTAGCTTAGTACGGTTTTAAAATGCGTGAAATATTGCTAAAAAAAAACAAAAAAACAACAACAACAATAAAGACTTGCTCATTTTTAGCTTTTCTCCCTTTTTTCAGAGCTGCTGTTTAAATTTATTTTTAACCCCATTTACTTTTTAATAATCAATTGATTATATCCGTAATGCATCAGTATTTTGTTTAGATTATAGTAACACGTATTTCTATAATTAATAACCAGTTTAATGTGTAAACCAATTTCGTTATATTTTTAAATGTAAAATAAAAATTTAGATGAACATTTTTTTTTTTTTTTTTGAATGTAACGTTACATTTAGGCGTTATCGTAAAAGCTATTCTTAAGCTTTTACAAAAGAATTTTATATATATTGCGTAGAAAAATATTTGTTAGGTTTTTTATACTTTATGAAATATTCGTCTTTGTTTGAACAAATGAAAATAATAATAATAAAAAATATTCTGTTATGTTTTTATAATCTTGTTTACATTTTTTTTTTCTTTCTTTTTTCTTATTGTCGCCGCTTTTCAGTGAAGAGGAAACCGTCTTCTATTATTATTATTGTTATAATTTTTTTTATAAATTTCTAAACAACATTGACGGAGCATGTTTTCTATTTTATATTTGTACGCTAAAGAAAAATTCATCGCAGAGCTTTAGCCAAATTAAAACTTTAAAAATAAATAAATGTGAAAGCATTAATTATTCAACAATAAGGTCGTGCGTATATTTATTTGAAATTTATAGAAATTTTCAATTCAACTAGATTCTTTCAATTAAAAAAATTGAATGATAAAGGCTTCCAAGCAGTGCTTATCATCTAAATAAATTGGCATTTATAACACCTGTATTTATTTAGTATCTACGGACGAGAGCAATATTTACAAGGCTCATAAATCGACTATAGATCGAAATATTTATTTAATTGAGTTTAATTCTAAAGTTTAGAATTTACAAGCGTATTTATAAAGATTGTCGCCACGTTAAAAAAAAACAAACGATTTTTTTTACGTACATATCTCTATATTATTTTTGAAACATTTGATTGGAATTAATTTTTTTTTTCACTATTAAATAAAATATTTCGTGAGTACTTACATATTTATATGAAGATTGATATAATGAACGAAACAAACTTAGAACCTGTCAACAAAAAAAAAAGGTAAGAAAAATAAAACAACTTATTTTTAATAAAAATTTTAAATAGAATTTTTTATGAGTATTCTTTTTTTTTTTTTTATTTAAAGTTGCCATTTAAAATTAATTATTATTTTTATTATCATTAAAATAGAAAAAATATGAGCTTCAATACTTTACCTATATAAACTCTCGATGTTCATTTGTATATTTGCATTATAAAGAGAAGGTTCGTTTTTTTTTTTAATAAACTCTTTACCTCTCGCTATGGGAAGAAGTTAACTGTTTTCTGCTTTTTCTTCTCCTCCCCCCCCCCCCCCCTTATTTGCTTTAAAATAAACAGCCGGTCAAAGCTAAATTAGTGTTTTATTATTTATTAACTATGTTGGTGTAAGTTAAAAATTGTCCGATCTCCTTTTTTTTCGGATGATAAAAAACACGTGATCATAAAGACTTAGTTTAAATCAAACAACCCCTCTATCTAATTATCATCAATAGAATGTTGGGCTTGAGAAATGGACTTCAAAGTACAGTTGGTTAGCGCGTGATATAGAGTTTATAGCCAACAGTGTTAGTTATTTGACTACAAATGGCAGTATTTGCTTTCATGTTGTTAGCGCCAGTTAAAGTTGGTACTGCATTTTAGTAACGTTTATTCTCCGCAACAAAACGGTCATGACTTAATGTTTTATCTTTAATGTTTTTCTTTGTATCTTTCAGAATTGTGACAAATAGTTAGTCGAGTAATTCCATTCAATTATAAAATAGCAAGAGAAAAATAATTTAAAAAGCTTGTCTTTATTTCTTATTTTGTTTACTAATAATCGTAAAATGAATGCAACGTTTCTTTACTCAAAAGAAAAAAAGTAAATAACAACCGCCTAAATAATATAATAAAGTACAAATTTTTCTTACCCGTTATGATGTATAACGTAGTTTTTGTTTTTTATTTTTATTTCGTGGGCTGGTAAATTAATTGATTCATTATTAAAATAATTCATTGGTTTACTAAAAAACTTCAGCAAATAAATAACTGCCGATAAACTATTTTATGTTTTTTTAAATCAAAATTACCGAAAATATCAATTTAAAAATATTCATGTGCCATATTGTATGAGAAAAATAATTGTTTACTAGATTATTATTACTAAACATTTTAAGCAAATAGATGGTTACCTAAAGCGGTTATATCAAAATATTCTATCAAAATAATTCATATTTCCATAAGTTTATAAATTTTGGTCTAGATTGACACAAAATAAAATTTTACTTTAAAAAATTATTATCTTCAAATAAACGATATTTTATGCTTCTTTTTTATTCAAAATCAACAAAATTAAAATTTAGAAATTAAACGTGTTTTGTATCTTTTAAATAGGTTTACGATGATGCGGACTGACGAAGAAATTCATTATATTAATGGAAATAGCGATTCTGATAATTACAAAGCCAACTTTGATGATCACTCAGGCGATGCGAACTCAAATCATAATGACGATACCCCTGTTGTAACGCATGGGGATATGGATATAAATAATGGAGATTCTTGCGGTTTAAACTTTGAAGATGATATGTTACCTTATACACCTGAGTTTAAAAAAAAGGGGCAACGTGGTCGACCGAAGAAAGCAAACGAGTCTATGGAATGGAACGATGAAGCTTCCGAAGCACTCATCCATTTATGGCAAAGCAAAGAAGAATTATACAACCGGCAACATCCTTATTTTTATGTTAAAGAAGCTAAAGAAAAAGCTATTGAATCAATTCGGCTTTCTCTTGAAAAAATGGGTTTTAAAATTTCAGCCAGTCAAATTTTTAGCAAGTTTCAATCTTTGAGAACATACTTTTGCAGCCAGCGTACTAAAATTGCTTCAGCGCGAAAAAATGGAGTTTGTGACGAAGAATACTTGGAAAGTAAATGGAGGTTTTATAAAAGTTTACAGTTTCTTGACGATAATATGAAGCAAAGAGAAACATACGCTACGCGCCCGAAATTTAGCGATTCAAGTTATCCTTACGATGGACTAGGGCCTAATGGTACCTTTTCAAGAAGCATGGTTGTAAACGAGCTTTTTCAAGACAATGGTAAATACGACTATCGTGACGACAAATACGATTACCAAGAAGAAAAAGAGTTACATAGATCTGGTAGCAGTACTCCGCCAACTAGAAGTATTATTAAAATTGAACCACGAACTGATTATAATGATTTAGTCAGAGACGAGGATCAATCATTCGGCGAATTAATAGCTACTATGATGCGGCAAATTAGATGTGGACAACAAAAAGATCTTTTAAAACTAGAGATTCAGCAGCTTATCATTAAAGCCAAATACGCAAATACAAACGATCATCGAAGTGACCATTCCCGAGATTAAATCATTCAAATGCTTTCAAAATCTGAAAGTAAAACTTATTTGATAATACATTTAAATCTGGGCTTTAAGTAGTAAGCTACGAGTCTTTGCGCATCAGTAATAAAAAAATTTATTATATATATATATATATTTGTAAATAGTGTCAAAGTTACTAAGAAATATTTTTGTGACCTGCATATTTATGACTCAGCTAGTTCATGGGCTGTTTGAACTTAATGAATTTTTTTTATACTTCCTCTATTATTTCTTTATA